CCACAAGCTCTAGCCGCGTTCCTTCAATGGTAAGTGAGAGGGCAGACGACTTCCAGTCCTGCAGTTGCACTTTACACTTCAAGGGAGAAAATCACATACCATACTCAGACGCTTCAATCGCCAGACGGTTCAGAAGGAGCTGTACACTCATTGAATCCTCACCGAACAGAGCGATATCGTCAGCCTAATCTAAGTCGGTCAAGCGATTGCCAGGATTTTGAAAGCCTTTAAGAGACCTCATCAGTTCCAAAGTTAAATAGAAATGCAAGCAAATGGCACCCCTGTCGCACACCATTAACGATAACGAAGGGTAAGGAAAGCTTGCTGTAGACACTCACTCTACCTGACACTTGGAAGTAAAACGCTCGATTGATGGAAGTGTACTTTCTTGGGAACTCTATTTCTTAGCAGACAGTGCCATAAAACAGGCCGATTGACCGAATCAAATGCAACCCGATTGTTCAGGAACACGACAATGGTTATTCTGGGGTGAAGTTTGCGGTGTTCCATGGTTTCGCGTAGTGTGAAGATCTGGTCCACACATCCTAGACCGGGGCGAAAGCCAGCTTGTTCTTCTTGGTAAAGCAGCTCGCAGGTTTGGGTAGTCTAAGGAACACAATGGATGCCATTAGTTTAAAAGCAACTGGCATGAGACTGATTCCCAGGTGATTAACACAGGACATAGGGACAATCGCTGACTCACCCCGGGAGGACGGAATCTCCTCTTGGTGCCCTATCTTTGAAAACAGCGATGTCAACTGCTTCACAAGTGTTGGACCACCAACTTGAACATCTCCAGAGGGGGTTTGTCCGAGCCGCGAGACTTGAATCTCTTAAGGTGTCGAATCTCGACGAAAACCTCCGCTTTGTTAGGTGGCTCTAATGAAATAACCTAAGGCATGCAATTGCATGTATTTGGCATACAAGCGGACACTGGGTGATGATTGAATTGGGAGTGAAGTGTTCTGCCCAACGCTCTGTGCGTCTTCGCAGGTCAGTAATTCGTGACCCATCCGCGTCACAGATAGTCTCGCTGACATCAGACCTTTCGGATCCGGTGAAATGAATGAGCTGGAAAAGCTTGCGCAGCTTGCAAGAGAAAGCAGCGGTCTCCATCTCCGAGGTACGCTGAGACCAACAAGTGTCCCGGTCATTACGCAGGCTTGGTTTGAGTTGCCGGTTGAGAGTATGGCGCATAGAATTAGGAACTGACTCTGTTATCACATTTCGGTGGTCATCGAACAGTTCCAGCGAACGAGCGGAGATTCAACTTTTCAACGGGTGTCGGTTGAGACCACAAAGCGATTGACCAGAGGAAAACATCGTTTCGTGCAAGCAAGCTAATGTTGCTCAACATCCTGGAGTGGAGTACAGGTGAGAGCATCCGAAAGCGTAGCTTGATAACTCACTTGGACGGAGGGGTCTGCTAGCCTGTTTATGTCAAACATTCGGTGTATTTGTCTCCGGGGCCCACCGAAACGCATGCGGTGTTCGTATAAACCAGTGCGTCAACAGAATGACCTGCAGTCCGGTATACTATCTCGCCAACGGAAACAGATTGCGATCTGGTCGATCTAGGACCTGAACTTTGTTGAAGACGGAGAGGGCCAGGTTGCGGAATATCTGTTGTTATGCCTGAAATTGGTGCTTGAGAGAAACAGATGGTTGTTCCCGCACAATGTGAGAAGCCGGTCTTCATTATCTGAGCGTACTTTGTTAAGCGCGTCCTGTTCTCCAAGGTGGCGTTCATATGGATGCAGACAGCCGACTCGTGCATTAATATCGCCAGCAAGTATAACAACATTCGACTTGTCCACTTTATTCAATAAAAGGTGAAGTTCGCGGTGAAGATCGTACTTGACGGAGTTGCTGCTGCAGTCACTTGGGGCGTAGGCAGAAACAACAAACAAGTTGCGTGTTTCCTTGCGATGTCTGTTGACACGACATTGTCCCTGAAGCCGAACTGCGCATAGCCGACTGTTAACTGGGAACCAATCGAGTAACGCAGCTTTGGCTTTCTTAGTGCTACCCCATCGCCAGCCAAACCTGCTGCAGTTTCTTCTGTGCCAGTGGATAGACACGGTATATGATTCCGCGATTTGAAGGGAACATCAGCCTCAGTACAGTGCTGGGATCTTGCACCCGGGTTACGGAAACGAAGCAAACGTCAATAGTAAGAGACTAGGGTACACGCCAGTCCGGCCTGTTGAACAATCTGCATAAGCGTCCGTATATGAAGCGTGCCAATCGGTACATAGATAGAAGTTGAACTATGGCAGTCGATTGAGCTTTTTCGGGTTTTGACAAAGCCGCGACCAAAGTCAGCATCAACGGTGGGTGGATTGACAACAAATGTAGTGTTGGCGTGTGCTGGCAGTTGGCGAACGACAAATGCAGCAGTAGCGGAAGCGTGAGAAGAAGGTAAATCCGGTTTTTCTCAGCGGGCATTATACTACCTGGTTGCCCAGGCCGAAGTAGTGTAGGATTCTTCCCCGAGCCTTTGGCTCAATAGCCTACCTGCAATGCAGCGGGTCTAAGTTAGGAAATCGCGTCCACTAGGAACTGATGATCGATTGCTCAGTTCCTGCGGCTTTTGCTTGGCGATCTGACAAACTGGGACCTAGTCTACTTAGATATTCAACCTCCAACCGAGGAATTACAATGTTTTACTAAAGCAAAGCAACGAGCGGTGACTTTATTTAGCGGCGAGTCACATCCGTCACGTCACAGTCTTGTTAAACGGACATATGTGGCTTTTTCTAGGGAAAACACTTGTCAGACGAAAAGTCACTATGTCCTGCAACACTGCCGCCAAATTTTTCATTTAAACGGGACAAACCAGTACCACCCAGCTAGCACCACGAGAAGGTAGTTCTGCTAGCCGGCCTAAACGGTCTGTGACCCATCTGTAGCCGCAGGCCATTTTCGCTTGTTCATAATCACACTGGCAGACAGATCTGAAAACGTATAACACTTGCTCGATTACTGTCAAACAACTTCACCCACTCCATCGCGTTCTCCGTCCCTTCGCCTGCCAGCCTCCTTCCTCCTGGTTTACACTGGGTACAACTTGAGTTGTCGCGATTCACTTATCTCCCTTTTTCCTATTGGGCTTCCCATGGTCCTTCATGGTCACCGTGATACCTATGTATCTATTCGTTACCTTCTTTCTTCATTCGTTACTTCGAGTTTCACTTCCTCCGAGTCCCTTACCCCCGAAGACGTATGCAGTTTAATCGATTGTACGTACTCACATTCTTCGGCATTCTCCCCCATTTGGTGACTTCGTCGACTGTCACCTTTTGCTTCACTCCAACTGTTAGACTTTTGTTGATAACTCGCCTTGACAGCGGACGACGAAACTGAACATTGAGCCTACTATTTGATCCATTACTTTTAGCATTCCCCACAAGCGCATTCATACTCTAAGTTCATTGTTTGCCGTTTTCTCTCACGGAACGTAGTGTCACTTACAAATCATTTGCAAAGGGCTACGGTCCCTACATGTGATTACTGCGGAGGGTAGTCGGACTTCTACATGTATACCGTCAAATCACCTGTGTGTGGTTGCCTTTCGAATTATTTCCATCTTCGTGTTCCTGTCTTGGGCTTCTGTATCATTCATACTAGGTGAGTTTGTAACCGAGCAACTGGCGAGCACAGCGGATTGGCGAAGTTTGCTTTCATTGCCTCTTTACTTATCTGCAACGCTTGGCTATTTGACAGCGTTTGCACCAATCGTGATCAGATCCAATCACAGTCCGCCCTGGGAGCGCACTGCGTTTCACAACTTTTTTGCCTCAATTAATCAATCACGATCCGTGTGCCAATGTGCATTGCATCCAGTTGCTGCAGCTCTTGTCATCGGGAAAATAAAATGGAAAACAACTAAGTGGAGAAAAACATGTTTTCGAAAAATATCTATAAACCTGCTGTCTTAAAAACGTTAATTTCCTATTACAAAGTCACCCTTACTAATCAACATACCGAATTCAAGTGTTCCGCTATCCTTCTGACTGAAGTGTTTCTAGGCCATTCTGTCATGCCACTGACTGGCTGCTTGGGTTGCCTGGACTATAGATCTAGATGATGCAAGTTCCACCAATGATCTTGCGCAGTATTACATGACCTGTTGCCAAGTTTCGGTCATATTTATCGAGTCGCACTGGTTAGATGACACAGCAATGTTTCATCGGCACTCTTGTATTCGCATTCTACTTCCGGACTCTTCCATCGAACCTTAGTGATTTTTCCAGGTCCTTTTGTATCCACTTTTGATTCTCTCTCATTAGCCTATCATTTTCGATTGCATGGCGTCTTCATTCCATTTAGTTGGGGCAGTGGCATCTTGACGCATCACGCATAATCTACCAGTTGAACTGAGCCGCAAAACCCCAATGAATTCGGAGATTTCTCCCATCACAACAACAATTGCAATTCGCTTTCTGTTTTCTCTAAATATGGGGCATTTTGTAACGATCCATCTGGGGACTTTTCAGTGAATCGATCGGTTTTTGACTGTGATTCCATTCTCAAAACCGTAGAAAATTTCCACCTACCATCAACTTCCAGTGATCTAGTTCTGATATTCTTTTGGCGCGGCCCAAGGCTTAAGTCAGGGTTTATACTCATCGTGACAGGCTCATTTCACCTAACTTTTGTGCAGAGTTTAGTGTTTCGGGCCAGCAACTATCATTTTGGCATAGTCCCATCGTTGCACGGATGTCTCCGAATTTCTTCCCCACAACGCCTATCGATATCCACAAAGAACGCCACTAACCTTTACGTAACACGAGAGTTCTATTATTAAGACCTTTCCCACGTTTAGAGCCAATGTATCCCCGTCATGGCCTCCACAGAATGGGCGTGCAGCCGTCATCTGCTCACACCCGCTTATGTATCGAGTTCTTTGCGCTAACTTGCTGCTGTAAATTTTTTTGATTTATTCACCATTGTATACTACACACACGGATTAACCCTTCCTTTCTTTCCATTACTAGAAACGTGCAACACCACAAGCCAAGCCCTCGCTTTGTACCGCAGGGATACATCCTGGATCGCCAGCTCTTCAAAGCTGTCTTGTATCCAGACAAGAATCGAGTCATCCGTGAATTCATCGCAGACATCTTCAATCACCACATCACCGAAGCGTTGAAGGTAAGTCATAACCGAAGCGCTATTCGTCACTCGGAACATATCTTCCTCTCGTTTAACTTTTCAGTTCTACTGATCTGGTATTCACGTCTAACAGAGTCGTTAACGAGTTCTTTGGTTTTCACTTGTCCTGCTCGATTAACAGTTCGTTGTTCCTCCGAAACTAGCACTTTGTCCGATGTATTTTCGCAGTGGTCATTCACGGAACATTGTTAAAATCAACTAGGTGAAACCAGGGAATGGCCTTATTCGTGCACACATCCCGCCCGGTTTAACATTTTACTCGTACGCGCCTATGCGCATGCAAGTTACCAGCCGGGGATTGGCACATCCCCCTGCCCTGGTCACTCACGCTAACGTGATACAGGCGCAGCGGGCAGTGTGATACGCTGTGAAAGCATATTCCCCTTAGGGTCACGCTACCTTACCCACTCACTACGGGGACTGTATTCATGTCCATAACCTGGGTTTTCCCACAATTGTTCCGCTTGACTCTACTTTCATAGTTTACCATGATCTAACCAGTTTTGTTAACTGTTTCTATTAGCCCCTTTGGTGCTTCGACCGTAATCAACAACATGCGTGTTGGTGAGTTCTGTCGAATTGTCCCTCGAGGAGTATTATTTGCTCTTGTTTAAAAACAAAAGGCGTGTGCGATGTGCTTTTTTGGAATTTATCCAGCGCCTGCGAGAGCAAATTTGTCGACGTAACTAATGGACATGTTGCTGGGCGATTACTTGTGAATGTTCTGAGGCTGATTTGAATTGATTGCCTCCACAAACATACCCGTTACGTTCCAATGCTATTTCAGTATGGCTAGATGACCTGTCCACTTCGCGCTTTTTGGCGAGCACTTGGTTCCTAAATGGTCTGAATGATGAAAGCGGTTTTTCCAGCTACTTCACTTCCCTGTTAATGCGACCCCCACTGATTATCCTCGAAGTAGTCGGCCATCGCTTGTATGTTTTTCTCCCTCTGAATACTACTCTTGAAATATATTCCCGTTACAGCGTCAATCGAGAGTGTAACGTTTCTATTTTGGTTTCACTAGTCGGCTTACACAGCCTACCATTCGTTGTACATTTTTAAAGCATTCAAACCCGTAGCTAGAATTCCTCCGCACTGCTCTATCCCCCCATAGCAATCCGGCTCGTCTGATTTTCGTCCCAGTACCGAATCTTGTGATGTGGTAGTACTTCAAGCGTCTGTCTTGCCTCCGCTGAATCGCACCCAAGTGCAGCAACCTACGGTTGAACAACTGTTAGACATTGGTACAAAATAAAACCGCGTCAGCACACCGCACCGACACTTCGCTGCAACCCGACTAATAAAAGTCGAGCGAAGGATGAGTATTCCGCGAGGTCGCCCGCACCTACGCGGATTCGATCCACTCCGGTTTAGAACTCAAACGCGTAATTCTTTTGGCGGACGATACAGAGTACTAGCGTACTGATGACGCCAGCACCGAAGCCCACTTACTCTAGTCGTCAAATCCATCGTCATCAAGACATCGGATTTCGACGAAGAAGTTAATGAACGAGCTGGTTAGAGAAAATGAAAAGAACAGGTGGACCTGACAAACCTGGTTTAACAAGTGAGCTACGGGGTTTAGAGTTTTAACTGGACCCATCACAGGTCGGCTCTGAATACAGCCGTAACATATCAAATGGCGCTTGCCTGACGTCTCTTGTTGTGTCTCCTCCGCTATTAGCATAAGTAGATTTATAACTGTTTTATATTCCTACAAAACCGTTGGCGACTTCCCCCTGGGAGTCAGCTGTGATGGGAGGAAGGAACTAGGAAGTCAAACGGATTCAGCCATTGGATACTGCAGGCGCATTTGTCTGTTTGCGCTATTTCGTCGACTCGTTGACGTTTGTGGGGCTACAGTGAGTTCCCTGTTGTTTGTTCGATCGAGTCAAGACGGTACTTCGTCTGTTGACAAACGCTATTGACAGGAAATGTTGGCCAATATATATCTGGACGTTCTGCAAATCAAATGTGCTGTCGTTTCGCTAAATTGCCTTTGCTAAACGTACCGCTTGTCCCTGAAGGAGCTGAACGTATGTCAGCCATGCCGTTGAGCGCTGCATGCAGTTTTGTATTCGGCCTTAGCGCAGGATGTAGCATGAGGTATGCAGTTCGAGAGATGTGACGGGCCAACAGCAACCCGTTTATCCATCAGTGATTTCATTTCCCCTGCCGATTTGCTGACTTCGCTCTTACGGTCGATCCGGCAAACAAGGTAGGCCCTCCTAAGGAAGATATGTGCAGACGTGGGTGACACGCTCCAGACACCGTCTATTCTGCCTTGATCTAACTAATCTGACTAACCATCTTTGCTCGCACACCCTATCGGTGTTGTGAAGATCAAACATGTGAAGGTGTCCGAGGCTCTCAAGTTGAAGAGGCCAGCTTAAGGCTACACAAATGCAAAATGGATGAAATCTTACTACTCACCATCCTAGCGTTACCTCTATCTGTTGTGTGCTAACTTTGATAGGCAGCCTTTCTCTTCTAATTTACTTACGCGTCACCAATGCCTGGCCGCGTTTATGACTCAACTTAGATGCCATTGGTCTACGCACTTGTTGCGTACAAGCAACCTACGGCTGCAACAAATGAAACTGGTTCGCAACTTGCGATAGCGGGAACGCTATTGGATCGACCCAATTTCTGTCCTTGTTGGTGACGTGTTGACAGTATCTTTGATCTGTGTTAACAAGTTGCACAACATCAGACATACGAACAGCTTATCGCGGTCGTATTTCTTTCCACTGCCGAACGAGTCTGCATTTGACATGTTAATCTCCTCAGGCACATCATTAAAGTTCTTCTCCACTTTCTAATCTCTGTTCACTTAGTCCATCGCTTTAACCGAGGCACATCGAAATGATAGTTTTTACCACTTCTTTTCGGCTTTACGACCGCGTGTAAATTAATCTGTCATTTATAGACAAGTAAAGCGAACAAAATTGTTTATTTTCCGACAGGTATTATACGATCCCCATGGAATAGCTCTCATTTTTACACAGAACAGCATTATAGTTCCCGTGTCTTAAAAAATTCCATGAATTTTTCCACCTCTGCTTAACAGTTAGTGTATTAATTATTTCGCGGATCGCTTGCAACTCATTCATTCAGTTCGATCTTTTGGACTACTGTTTTCCAAGTTCTCACCTCGCGAAATCCGAAGGAACTCATTGGGACGGGGAGGGAGAATCGATGACACAAACACGTTTACTTATGTTGACGTCGACAATTGGGTGATAAGTGGCTTGTAGGTATTTAGCATTTCATCTGTTGTATAGGTATGATCCCGTTAATGTATTTGCTTATTTCTGGGATTCAAATGCTTTTAAGATATTTTGTATACTGAGAGGTTTCTTAAATTCGGAATGTAGCCACGTTCTCACACGTCTGTGCCTGCAGAGAGCGAGTTTAATCCCTTAGTTTCTGACCCACCCACTGCAAGTGTTTTGAACGCGGAGGGAGTAGTAGTACGGGGGTTTAAATTCTACTTGCTATTTTCAGAATTCAGCCATCATACATCCGGAGAGCGGTTCGTTGGCATTGCACATTCGTCGTGCCTCTTGTAGGGCTGTAACCGGATGGCCTACTCATGTAAATCCCTGCCATGGAAGATGACACTAACCGACATGCTGACTACCCTTTGTGACCTAACGCAGCTCAGTCTCGAATAACTTGCACTATACCGTATCGCAGTGAGTAGGCCGCACTCCAGTACAACGGATTGCTAAAATTATCCCATTAGTTAGCCTGTGATGCTATAAGAGCTTTTGACATTATACTGATTAACGTGAGTATTGGGGGATCAAATGGTTGAAGTTGCCTTCAACGTTGCAATGTGTAAGTCATTGGAGCGTGAACCGCGCTATTTCACATTTAGTTGCTTAGTGATATCTGTCGGTATTTTCCCACGTGGTTCAGTGATCTAAGATACTGACTCATTCGAGTATGATTGCTGTTCATAATTCTATTCTCTATGGTTGGGTTGTATACTGTTGTTGGTACTGGATTTTCATCTGTCACGTGTCCTCCTTAAGTGTTTCGTTTCATATAACAACAATCAAATATCTAATTTTAAAGTGCTGCCGTAAGTGCAGGTATTTGTGTTGTTATAATACTCGTGAGCAAAATTTGCAACTTCACTCTTCCTGCATTACTTGAAGTAATAGTATTGATAATACTAACCAAAATTCAGTCCATTGGCAAGTTCGCTCTCTATGAGGAGAACGGTCAGTCCGTGAGACTTGTCCGGTTCATTGCTGATTGAAACTACTTCGTTATAGGCTTGCGTTTTGGGAATGCACCATCACAGCTGGTAGTGCTAACAGTTCGGACAAGAAAGATGCGCAGCAGTTTCCCTAAGATGATATTTCTGTGTGAAGTCAAACTTCAGAGGGTTTATTGATTTTATCATTTCATGCAGCTTTCACAAACTACTCAAAACATCCTTTCGGCAAAGAATTCCTCAACTTCGCTAAGCAGGCAACCATAGCATCAAGCAGATTTGTCAGTGTAATCAAAGTATATTTGTTTGCAAAGTTATGAAGTTGCTGAAATCTATGGCATTTCATCAGTCAAACCTTTTACGACAAACATTTCCTGTTTTAACTCAGCATCAAATCTCATCTATATATCAAACAATTCTTCACTGTCCATTCGTTTCTTTTGGTGGATTCGATGCTTCATGCGTATTTTCAATTCAGCGTAGTGTTTTTGGATTCATTCATCGCAGTCCACCATTTTCTCTATTTTCTGAAGTACGCACATTCCTAACGGTTTAAGCTTGACAGAACTTTGTTGCAGATCCAGCCCATTTGTTTAAACATATCTGTGCATTCTTGGGAACAGATCTCCAAAGGTTTAGAAACAAAATAAACGGAAACGGCAACACCTAGATGAGAATTGAAGATGCATCTAATCTCGAGGTTGCATTTTCTTATTCTAAGAAGTGCTTCAGAGCAGCGATCTATTCC